GCCCTGTCAGACATGATATCGGTTTTTCAATTCATCTCAAGCTAATTTTTAAATCGTGAATTGCGCGCATGCACAAGAGCGGGTTGTAGATATGATGTGGAGAATGACACTCGCTCGATTAATCGATTCCCGTAAACTTTTTTTCGATTTTAGGCTTTTGAGTGCATTTGATAGTTTTTGGCGAGCAATAAACAAACGAAATGGCGACCTTTGTTGCTAAGAATAGTGGTGGCGTGAAAAAGAAGCCAATGATTATCTTAAAAGAGTTTTTTTTTTCATTTTAGTTTCAACAAGCGGCGCCAGCGACTGGCAGGCATGCAAGGATTCACATTGAAATAACAGAACAACCTTCGTTTTTCATAAAATTGTAATTTACAATCCTTGAACTTGAAAACAATCCGAAGATTCATTGAAAATATCACTTACTGCGAAGCGCTCGGAGTTTACAGATGTTCAAAAGCTTTTTCTGTTATGGCGTGAGATTGAGGAAAAAAAATCGATTATTACGTTTCGTATCGTGTGTTTTTCCTGTGTGAAGCAACAAGATGCCGGCGACTGACGAAATTACAAGTTATCACGAAAATCAAATAACACCTAAACAAACAATTTTAGCTACCGATTTTCAGTGAATTTTGAAGGAACAATTTTCTTTTAAGTTTCAAGACAATTTGAAGATTCAAAATAAATATTACGTAATAAAATGCGAAAGTTATACCCCCACAAAATTGATAAATAGGCCTGAAATGAAATTCTATCTTGTTCTTGATTATACGTTGCCTAGCACGTGACTAAAATCTACCCAGGCGGAGATCCATAATGACGGTGGCAGTCTGGGTTTAGTTATATCACTCAAAACTCGTTCCCGTTTGTCTCATTTGATAAAGAGGGAATCGTTAATGTTTTCATTAAGACAGTATTGCCTTGGTTTTCTAATATTTACAATGATTAACAGTAAATTTCACTTTTCACCTACATTTACTTCCAACCTTTTCTTTTGAAGACAAAACCAGAAACAAAAATGATATACGTTTAAAACACATGACATCATCCACCCTTGTCAAATGTAATAGCATGATCATTTCAATTGTAATGCCTTCTTATCCCAACGTTACTTTGTTTCTTTGCTACGAACACTAAACTACTGCTCGTACTCCAGATATGACAATCAACCACAAAATTCCCTAAACCAGATAACATTAGACGTAATCCAAAAAATCATGTGTCAATTCACGAGTTCGCTCACAGAGCACATTGATTTTCGTTTGAATTTGTTTTCAAACAGCAATTATACCAATAAGAAATAAATAACAATCATCAAAACTGAAATAGAACCAAAAATTAAGATATGACTGAATTTGAATTCTTCATTCATGTCTGTATCTCAGTTTTGATGATTGTTATTTATTTCTTATTTGAAGTTTTTGTAGGATACATTATATTTATACATGTATTTTTTCTTTTCTTTTATGTGGTCTGCCTTTGTATGAGGTCTATGACTCTTTTTTAGACTGTGATCATGATTTTGTTTATTGTCATTGAATTGTATGAAATAAATAAATAAATAAATACCCACTTGAACCTACTTTTTCGGCATAACCTATTTTCGATGAGAAGGAAATTGATTTGTTAGCATTGATGTTATTCTAATTTTTTTTTCACGAAAGGGATTAATTTGCAGGGCATGGGGTCTCCATTCAGCAAATATTTAAATACTTTCCCCAAGTTATTCCCAGGATCTCTATTCTAAGAACAGATACATTGCGCAGGAGATTTGATTAAAGTTAGAGTAGACTGACTCAAATAGCTTGTCCCTGTTTTAATCAAATCTCCTGCGCAATGTATCTGTTCTTAGAATGTTGGAAAGGAAAGTCGGACATGTTTTTGTGTCTTTTGAAGATGTTTTGGAAAAAATACAGCAAAATATGATACTTACCCGCATTATTATGATAACTGCAAATAACTTTTTAATGCGGTAGAGGAGATTTACTTAATCTTTTCTGGAATGTTTCTGTCTTATATGTGACCATTTTTCTTCAAATGGCTAATTAGAGATACGATAAATCTTTGCAGCAGCTCTCTATACAAATCGATTGCACTTTGACACCGTTGCAGTCCAATCTCCTCTTCAGGTTATGAATCATGTTCTTCACTCTTTCAAACGAGGTACCTCTCGTCAATCACCAAGCAAGAACTTGCTTTTTTTCATTTAAAACGGGAAAAGTGAGTCACACTGCTTGACCCAAACTCCTTGATTCCATGTGCCAATGTTCGCAGACAATTTAAATGTGTGATCGGCTGGTATCCAAACACATGGTAGTTGAGACATACGTTGAGAGTACATGTGTTCCCTCTCGAAAAACGAACAGAGAAAAGAGTTTGTGATCCCTCTCCTCCCTGGGGATGTTACTTGCCATTGCATACTTTCCACTGTTGTGCCATTGGTGGTACTTTAAAGCGTTTAAGGGAGAAGAAAAAGTCGGTGGTGAATTGCTTCTTGATGATGCCAGCTAGGAAGGATTATTTAAGTTCTTTTTGCGAAGTAAAAATCGCGTAGCGTTGTGTGCCATCGATGAATATCAAGAATGGTTCAAGGAGTACTCGAATTCAAGACGAGCGCCTCGGCTCCGGCGATGAAACGATTATTACAGTGTTACGACGGTTCTCACTGGTATGAAACGAAAGGAAATACAAACAAAAGAGTTGGGGTTCCCTCCGCAGCTTTGGCTCTTTCTTGTTTTACGCAACCACATCCTTTCCTGGGGTACGTAATACTAAAACTAGTGGCAAATAATAATGGTCTCCTTGATCGTTTCCTGATTTGTCTACCATCTACAGCACCAGTGTAGATATCTGTTAGGATGGAAAGTAGCAGGAACTTGAGAAATACCAACCTCTTTTTTGTGAAAAAGAACTGAAAGACCGAAGAAACTAAATGAAAGAATGTAGGAAAGAAGTGCAAAAGGCAAAGGGGAAGATAGGTCGGATAAAAAAATATAAATATAAAAGGAAACAAAGTTATTGAAATGGTACCAAACCTTTACGGTAATAATCCAGACGTTCACTAAAGGAGAAAACAAAAAGATATTTGAATAAAAAAAACGTAGAAATGTATTCCTGTCCGTTTCCTTGGTCCATTTCTCGTGCTTCTATACTGTTTGTGGAGGGGGAGGTGAATAGCGCTTGGCAGCCTTGTTACTCACTTTTGTGGCAGCAAATCAGGGTATTCACCCATGTGGTAATAAATCCTAATATGGAAAAGGTTACTTAGAAAATAATTTACTGTAAAAGTAGATCAAATTTTCTCCACAAGATGTGAATGTCTATTTTGGTGACAAAACTATATGATGTATGTGTTGAAGTTAACTTTTTATGAAAAATATATTTAGGAAATCTCTCTGATATTTCTTTATTGTAACTATTTTCAGTAAAAAAAAAAATTCAAACAACTATCAGAGGTAGATTTTTTTACAACAAGTATTACTCCAGCAATACATCTGTGCTACATCCATACGGATAAAGACTAACAGACATTTACCTAATACTTATTTGAGAAACTTTAATATAGCACCACTTTTCAATTTACATGTGATGTGTCAGTGGATAGTTTAAGGATGCCCACACTTGCTAATGACAGGTCACTAAAACTAAATACTACATAACATAACATTTTTATGAATTCCACAAGATATTGCTTTCAAAAACCATTCAGCCCACAATTTGTGGCAACAGTTGTAGGCTATAATCAATTTATTCTTTTTCAACAATCCATGTTTCCTATCACCAATTGACTAAAAAGGATAAAGGTATAAGAGTCTTGCCAAGGATTGCCATTTAACTCTACTACTTCATCAACAATTTAACCATTTCACTCCCACCACTGACCACAAAGCAACTTCTTTTTACAACCATACTTTTTCAGAATAAAAAGTGAATGATAGGAAAAGTAGAAATCCAAAGGAAAATTAGCACAGAGATTCTGTTTGACTAAACAGTATATTCTCTGAAAGAAAATAAAAGGAATGTATAACAGACAGTGGAGAGAACTTACAGTTATATCTTGGTAGAGATAGGGTTAAATGGCAAGAACCTTGCTTTGCATGTAGAGTACCTTTTTTTGTGATTTGCCTTTAAAAGATACAATGTGTTTTAAGTGGGAAGTGTTTAATGAATTACAGATGGCCATTTAAAACAATTTCAAAAAACTCTACAGGATTAGAGCATTTTCTAAATATACATTAATAAAAACAAAAAAAGCTGTCTTGAGAGTTGTATTTTTGTGAGACTCTTCCTCAAGGGGAGGGAAGAACCATTGGCAGTAACTACAAATGCAATAATTGCACATCACCATTTTTCTACTTCAAAACCATAATATCTTGAAGTGGTTTCCTTTTTATGTCTGGAACTGTTGCATCGCTAGCTGGGTAACCAATTGGAAGCAGCAATAACAGCTTTTCATTTACTTTCCTTCCAAGCAAATCTCGCAATCTTGGTCCCGCATTCATGGGTGTGGAGGTCACTGTGACTAAACCTGCATTCTGATAATGATAAAGTTGGTTGTAAGGGGGACTTGCTTAATCAGTGAGAAGGTCAAAATGAATTGATTACAACTGCCGTAAGTTTAAAATTGTATCCTTTCCTCCACAAAGCAAACAGATCCACGACCCTAGGTTGGGTAAGGAGGGGTTGGAGGGGGGGGGG